CTGCTACTTTCTTGGCTTAGCTAAACCGAAGGCAACAGCACTTCAGGCTCTGCATTTTCCCACGGCTTCAGCACTCTTCCCACACAATTAGCTCTTACAGGGTCAGTTAAATTTTTGTGTGGCTGGCTAGTCATGGGCTGCCTCTTTTCAGGAAATTCTCTATCCAGGGAAAGAAGAAGCTCCATTCAGAAGTGAGAAATCCCCAGAAAAAGGACGAGGGCATTCCACTGAACCATAAGGGAAGTGGAGAGGAAAAGGAACTTCTATCATTGGTTACTCTCCATTAAATAACAGAATAACAGAGTTTGAAGGGACCCTGGGGGTCTTCTAGTCCAACCCCCTGCCCAGTTGTTATATTTTTATTGGGAACCACTTCATCTGCTGGTATGAAGGATAATATAGAAATAAATCAGCACATCATTTTCATCTCAGGCAAAATGCAAAAGACAATTTTTTTAAACATCCCAAAGTACATGTTATGTCAGATTGCAGAGGAAGCGATGTTACTACCAACATAGTCTTTGTTGTGAATTAAATATAGTCTAGTTTCAGTTGCTAGTACCGTGAACTGTTGACTCACACACACATATACATGTTTTAATTTACTGTCAGCTGTTCAACTCAATTTCCCTTTGAGGCCAATTAAAAATGAAGGGTTCTGTTGTCAACAAATGTCATATAATTAAAGGCAACTGAGCTGCAGAGAGTTAAGTTTCCAGATGGCCGGTTTAACTGCGGAGCTGGTGGGCTTTGGGGCTCCAATCCTCTCTCCTTGGACGAGGCTCAGTTAGAGTGGATCTGCTACTGCGCTCCAGCTGCTGGACGTATATCAATAGGCAGCAAGCCCCACCCTCCCTTATAGCGGATGGTGTTCCCTGGGTCATGAAATGTCTGCAAGCAACCCAACCAATCTCGGAGAACACCAGTGATCTCCATCACCTCAGATCTTTGGAAGATGAATTGCAGAAATCAGGGGAGCCCAAGCTTTAGTGAGCCAAGGGCTGAGCTTGCTTCTGAGTGCTGGCTGAAGGCGCAGCTCAAACCATTGACCAGGGTTAGACTAAGAAGTGGTTGGGGCTACAGATAAACTTGAATTTAAATTATTGAATGCATATGCCTGATTCCCACGTTCCTTCCTGTTGTTCGTAATAGAACAGAATAATAATAGAATACAGCTGGAAGGGACCTTGGAGGTCTTCTAGTCCAGCCCCCTGCTCAAGCAGGAGAACCTATACCATCTCAGACAGGTGATTGTCTAGCTTCTTCTTTAAAATCTCCTGTGGACACCAAGTTTAGGTCCGAAGGGTAGTTTTAGATGCAAGCAGACCAGGATGGGATTGTGCCCTTCAGAAGAGGGAGCGCTCCGCCCTGCTCACTGCAAGGGAGGGGAGTGCAAAGATGCAGCAGGAGGTGCCTGAATGGCAGCCACCTACCATGCAAGGCCACACCTGGGACGATGGTTGTGAGGGAAGTAGTTGGAATGTCACCTTCTGCCAATCCAGGAATGCCGAGCTAGTTTTGGGAATCTAAAGCAGGGATCAGATGAAATGTTTGCTTGCTTTTTTTTTCTTTTTCTTTTGCTTAGCTAACAGTTTCCTAAGCAAAAGTTTTGATCCAGAAAAAAGAAATGCTCATGTGCCTCAAAAAATCAGAAGGATTTTCCAACTTGTATAAACTTTTGAATACAAATCCTTAGTGGGAAAAGGTGGTCCCTGACTCCTCTGATTTTTGCTACCATGGACTAACCTGCCTCTCCCCCTACAGTGCCTGCACGTGCCTCGAGCATCGCAAAGTTCATCTCTGAAATTAATATGAATTCAGGATGAGGGTTGATGTGCCTGAGATAATGGGCATTAGGAGAAGAGTGCACATTTTGAATATAAATGATTGATCCAAGGTTCAGCTCTTAAATCTACAAGCAGCCATTCTGCTGCCGGCGCTTCTCCATCCAAGGACTCTTTTAAATGCCAAGTTCAGTGCGGGGTGGTGGTGGTGAAAAGCCATTTCTGCACAGAGTAATAGATCAAAAGTTAATTGTGTCTCTGGAGGCGTGAAACTTGCTTTATGCTCCAGGGCTCCTCAGAGCCAGGCAAAGGGGAGTCTTCTCTTGCAGGGTTGCTGCCCCATTTCCCTTCCTGGCCCATCAGGGTGGTGGCTCCAGGCTCGGAATAAGAGAGATCGGGGAAGATGACAGTTAGGCCTGTCTAGGGATTGCTGAAGACCTGCTCAGTCAAGGATGCAAACAAGTTTAGAAAGTTGGATGCCAAAATAAAATGCTGCATTGATACATGTGATTCAAATCGTTTCCAACATTTGCTTCAGAACTGGAGCTTCCTGGACCCAGGGAACATTGGCTCCCTCAGCAATTTCAGGCTGTTGCCAGGCTCCCTATTGGAAGTCAGAGCTGGTCCAGCCACCCACTTCCCTTGAGATGAAGGGCATTTGGCCAGATCTGCAGAAGAGGAGGACAGCAGCAGGGTCAGTCCGCCCAAGGCAGGACCCCTTTGCAACAGGTGTCAGCTTGGAGCTGTCCAATGTACACTGAGGGGCCCTTCCATTGCAGGCGACCTGCACCGATCCCTCCCTGGGCCAGGAGAACGCAAAATTAAATTGAAGAACACATTTTCTATGCTGTGCGAATGTTGGTTTTTTTTTATTGTGCATCATAAACCTAATTTGCAGAGCAGCACGGTGGCCTAGAGGTGAAGACTGTCACCTCCCACCTGGAAGGTTGAGAATTCAATCCTAGGCAGTGACAGATGTTTTGCTATCAGAGCGCAAAGAGAAAATATCTGGTCTATTTGCACAGTAGGCAAAATGCAAGGGGTCTAAGAGCTTAATGTCTGGTGTCATTTAATTCCTTTGAATTCCAGACATCCAAGCTTTACAAGATGAAGCAAAAGCATTTGTCAAGCATGGGTTTCCAAGCTAAGCTACTCCCTGCACACAAGGATTCAGCACCCGTGTGCTTGTCTCAAGCCTGCAAGCTGCCAGCCTTTGCCATGTCTGAGTTGTGTCTCATCCTGTTCCTTGTATGTCAGAGGGTCAACCCTTTTGTTCAGGAAGAGAAGCCTTCCCTCGGCTGCCCCCTCCAGAGACTTTGCAGCTGCCCCTGGTTGGAGAATTCTCACCCCATCTGAAGGGGGCCAGCTTGGGGGTGGGTTGCCTTTGCATCTTGCTTGCTGAAGGGCACCAAGATGTCTTCAGCAGATGCAGAGCAAGGAAGATGAGGCGCCTGCTGCTTCCAGATCAGGCAGCTGCCCTGGGGAAAAGCCCATTACACAAAGGCCGGGCCGAGGGGGTTCGGCGAGGCTGCCTGGCAGATGGAAAGAGCTGCTCTGTCTGTCCAGCGGCTTCTCTCTCAGTGACTTCATAGCCTTTGCATGAAATAACATCCCTTATGCCAGGTGGATTATATCTTGAAAACCCACCCGCTTCGTCCGGGGATGAGCACAGTCAGTTCTCAGAAGGGCTTGCGAGAAACATTCCTGTTGATTTCAGATGGGCAGCAGAGGCAGGATTTGTGCAGGCTTAGTGTTGCCCACTTGAATGCTCTGCTTCAACAGAGGTAACTCACGGAGGCCGGGCACCAAGTCCCTCTTGAAGTCTAGAATGAGACTGTATCAAAAGTCTGTTGTGCGAAAGAGCAGATAACGCCAGGCTGTCTCAGGGTTGCAGCCATGTTTTGTCAGCTCTTCAGAGTCTCATCTGGAATGCAAACAGGAAGGGCCAGGGCCTTTCTCCTGGGGCAGGGGGCCCTCCAGAGCCATCCCCAGGCCCACTCTTTTCTGTCCTCCTCATCAAGGGCCTCCCTTGCCCAGCATATCACCTTGAAAAAGGGCTTAGCAAAAGGCGAGTTCAGAAAGACATACAACCAATTTAAGATACAGCAAATTCTCTTTGGCTGGAAGGAAGTCTTTTCTAGCTTCCAACTTACTTTAACACCAGTCTTTATTTTTACATGGTTGGTACATCTGGGTAACTAGGCAACGGGCACAATGCCTCCATCTTTAGAGAGTGGGAGGCAGCAGAAGCAGTTCTGTCCTGGAGGGGCAAGGAGAATCGCCAGCTGGGCCCCCAGGTGATGGGACGGGGAGAAGCTTGTTGTTGGATTTCAAAATCCCTGAAACAGACTCCATGACACCCAAACACCTACCCTTGTACCTTGTGGATGCATCAGTCTGGATCTTGAACTGGGGATTGCGGGGTGCATCTGGAGGGTACCAACTGCATGAGGGGGCAGAGGAGGGAATTTTCAAATGAATGTGAAATGTTCTTTCCGTGGTCTTTTGGCTTCGTTGGATACAAGTTCTCATCCTCTTCCTCAGCCATATCAACTGTTTGCCCTCTCTTGCCCAACATAAAATAAATGGTTACGAGGCCCAGAGCCTTTTTCTGGATCTGCCTTATGGTGAATTTGGGTCCCTGGAGGCAACTCAGCCAACACAGGTCTGCGCTGGTGGTTGTTTACATACTGCTTCCCCATTAAAGTGTGTGGAAGACCAGAGGCTGCCAACAATGAGTGAACAGGCAACAATAATAGGGGGGGGGAATCAATTATCTGTAATTTCCAGGAATTACCTTTTTTTAAAAGCTGAAAATTGATTTCTATTTTGTTTTATTTCTGATCTTGTGTTCTTTGGCAACCTTGTTCTTGCTATCCTTTGTTGGTTTATGCTTCTCATTTGCATCATGTTAGTTGCAAGATACCCCGGAGCCTATTTCAGCCAGAGGCATAGAATATAAAGGTCTCTCTTTAGGTAATCGGCAAAAGTGGAGGGTGTTGGAAACAGAATGCTGGTCCAGAGCAACCTTCAAGCAAGCTGAGCTGTTGAGGAGGGCTTCAGTTTAGAATTTAGAATAGAATAGAGCTGAAGGGGACCTTGCAGGTCTTCTAGTCCAGCCCACTTGTTACTAATATGCTTGGATATTCAGCTGTATAACAAATTTGGCTTTTGGTGCTTCCTTGCAGCTCCCCAAAGTGCACCATCAGTTCAAAAATGAGTGACGAAACCATTCCCGAGGAAGTCTCCGCTCTCCCTGCTCAAAGCCAACATTACTTTGACCGATTCTCAGAAGACGACCCGGAGTACCTGCGCATCAGGAACATGGCTGCAGACCTGCGCCAAGACTTCAACCTGATGGAGCAGAAGAAAAGAGTCACCCTGATTCTGCAGAGCCCCGTGAGTAGGTGCCCTCAGAGGGGGAACCACGTATGTGCTGAACCCAGGGAAGAGGGCCTGAGCACGATGGGATCAGTGAACCTCCCTGATCTTCCTGGACTGGGCTGCCCTGACAGTCAGGATCTGAAGCTCCCTCTTCAGACTGAATCCCCAGGTCTCTGCCCCGGGGTCGGGTCCAGTGAAGAATTTGAAAGCTTCTCCTCCTGATTTCCGGATGTTCACATGACAAATGTATTTGAATTGTAGTCGCCCCTTAGAAGCCTGCTTGTGCTGTCTGGAGAGTTATTCTGTGATGTCTTCAGTCTTTTAGGGAGGAGCTGGAGAGTCTCATCCAAGAGCAGATGAAGAAAGGAAACAACTCCAACATCTGGGCCCTTCAGCAGATAGCCGAGTTCATGGCCACCACGGCTCCCTCCGTCTTTCCTCCGTCGCCCTTGAGTATGTTGGTCTCCCATCTAGGGTTTTTGGTCATGCTGGGGTTTCTGAGCATGCTGGTCCTCCTCCTCCTCCTCCTCCTCCTCCTCCTCCTCCTCCTCCTCCTCCTCATGTTA